GGACAGATTTTCTTATCCAATCACGATCATGACCTCCATAGAAACAGACAATCTTCCCTGGCTTAATTAATCTACGAAACAATTAATAAATTGTGTACTGTAGACCCACTTAACAAAATTCAGTCCGTGTTAGAGTCCAGTTGTACCAAGAAATCAGTCCCCCAGCTCTCTCGCTCCCAAACTTGAGCACCCCAAGTTTCCACCATTGGATCGAAGTGCATTGGTGTGGCTAATCACACCTTGTTTGTTTAAGACTACCAGTATGGGCTTCCTACGGAAGTTCCATTTTTCCTTGATGTACCACATGAAGGCCCAATGTATGCATATATTATGATGGATTGGCCAGCCACAACTAAGGCATCTGAGAACCTGCTTGATCAACACTTTTTTCTGGAGTTATTTTAATGGTTTGATCCATGGTTGGTAGCCAAACTACTTCAAAGCTTTCTTTTCCCTCAACTTTGCTGTTATAAATCTTGGTGAGAGAAGAAAATTCTTCAACATTGACGAAAAGATCTGAGATGAAGAAGGCAATGGACTTGCCCTTGAGTCTGTCCAAGCTGACCTACACCACCAAAGTTATTGAGCGTGAGAACCATAATTTTTGTAGATGAAAAAACAGCTAAAAACCTAAAATTTTGAATTAGGAGGAAACAGTTCTTATGAGTCAGTCAAACCTTTTATTCCTTGTTATGACCAAGGATCCGCTTTTCTGTTTAGGAGAAAAGCTTAAAAATTAGTTCCATGTTGTCTTCATATTCGATTCGGAAGTTGTTCAAGGTTTCAACATACTCTGCGAAACCTACAAAAACACTTTTTGTTAAACTGCATTTCCAAGCATGGTCTTTACACTTTTCCAAATTAAAAAACATTTAGTTCGATTACATGTCAATGGATGAAGTCTCAGAGAGAGAGAGAGTATAGGTCTCTTCGCTGCATTTTTATCGGAAGACATGTGGTTTTTGATGAGAAACAGTTTCTTGGGATCACTCAAGATAGTCTTTCCTCTGGACCTCTAGATTCAGTGCTAGTCACTCTACTTTCTGTCCCCTCAGTTGATGGCATGTAGGAAAGTTCTATTTCTCTTCAAGATACTACTTCCAGTCAGCAAGGTACGGCTCTAGGTTCCTCTTTCATTTATTATTCTACTAATGGCTCCTCGTCTCATAATGACACCCAGATAGAACCATCACATCAGAGAACACAATTACTTCAAGATATTCTTCACACCACACTTGTTCTTCCTCCTCCAACCGCACAAACTCACTCTATGATCACTTGTTCCATATCTGCCTGCCCTGCTCAGACTGCTACAAGGTATCCTCTACTTGAAGGACTTCTAGCAGATAGTGGGGTGTATGATGTAGAACTATCTTCCTATGCTTAACGTCCAACTCTCTAAAACGACACATGGCAACTTGTTTCCTATGATCCCACTATGAATGTTGTTGGCTCTAAGTGGGCTTATAAAATCAAGAGAAAACCTAATATCTCTGTAGAAAGGTATAAAGCTAGATTAGTTTCTTAAGGTTTATCTTAGGTTCATGGTGTTGATTTTATTGATACTTTTAGTCTTGTGGTTAAGCCAACCACTATCCATATAGTCTTATATCTAGCCATGTCACACGGATGAGACATCAAACAGTTGGATGTTCACAGTTCTTTTCTGAATGGTTTTATTCATGAAAAAAATATATATGAGACAATCTCATGGTTTTGAGGATTAGACTCGTCCAGTTGTCTGAAACCAATGAGGTTAAGACCTGTTTAGAAAACAAAAGGATACCAGAGATTAAAAGAAGAGAAGAGAAGAGAAGAGAAGAGAAGAGGAGGAAGAGAAAATAGAAGAGAAAGAGGGGTTCGGTCTGGTTAGTCTGCCGCCTCAAGTGATATTTAAAATTAGGTCTATAACAATAAGTGGTACAATGACAGGAATGCTCCTATCACTAGAAACAACAAAAAAAGAATTCTAATAGTACTCTAAGAGAACTATGAACAAAGGAAAAACATATGAACAAGTGGGGACCACAAGCTGGTCAACCATTTTCTCTACACTCCCCCTCAAGTTGGGAAAATATATTGACCATTACCAACTTGCTTAAATCTGACTCAAGCTTGATTTTGTTGACTGCCTTGGTGAAGACATCGGCAGGCTACGTATTAGTGGCAACATGAGGAAGGCACACTTCTTGAGAGGCAACTTTCTCTCAGATGAAATGTTTGTCAATTTCAATGTTTTTGGTTCTATCATGTTGTATTGAGTTGTGAGCAATGTTAATGGCTGCCTGGTTATCACAGTACAACATCAAGGGTCTTTCAAACTCAATTCCCAATTTAGTAAGGAGAGACTTCTGCCATAATATTTTTGTAACACCATTAGCCATAGGCCTGTATTCAGCTTCAACACTAGACCGAGCAATAATATTTTGTTTCTTGCTACTCCATGAAACTAAAATTCCCCCAACAAAGGCACAATACCCTGAGGTAGATCTCCTATCACCAATAAAACCTACCCAATCTACATCAGTGTATACTTCAATCTTCATATGACCATTATTTTTAAAAAGTATAGCTCAGCCTGTACACCTCTTGAAGTAGGCTAAAATTCTCTCAACAGCAAGGAGGTGTGAGTCTTGGGAGAGTGCATGTACTGACTAATAACATTGAAATCATAAGAAATGTCAGGGCAAGTCAGACATAGGTAGAGAAGTCTTCCTACAAGTCATTGATACATACCTTTATCTTCTAGAGGCTCACCATCTTTTTCATTAATCTTATGATTTTGCTCAATGGGAGTATCAGTAGGCTTAGCTCCTAATTTTTCTATCTTTTCTAAGAGATTAAGAACATACTTCCTTTAGGAAACAAAAATTCCATGCTTGGACCTTGCCACTTCAATCCCAAGGAAATACCTCAACTCACACAGGTCCTTTACTTCAATTCTTGATTAAGTAGTTGCTTAAGAGAGTTAATCTCATCAATATCACTTTTTGTCACAACAATGGCATCCAACATACACAACTAGGAGAGTCAAAGTAGATTCTTTCTTTTTAATGAACAGAGTGTGGTCAGATTTGGATTGAACATAGCCAAATCTTTCCAAAGCAAGTTTGATTCTACCAAACAATGCCCTTAGAGATTGTTTTAGACCATACAAAGCTTTCTTCAACTTATAAGCTTTCTTATCTGTCTTTGCATCATAAAAACTAGGAGGTAACTCCATATACACCTCCTCCTACAAGTCACCATTTAGAAATTCATTCTTAACATCCACCTGAAATAGAAGCCAAGAGAAGTTAGCAGCAAGAGACAATAAAACCTTGATGGTATTCATTTTTGCAATTGGTGCAATGGTCTCCAAGTAATCAATGCCATAAGTTTTAGTATATCCCTTAGCCACCAGTCTAGCTTTATATCTTTCAATTATACCATTAGCATTATACTTCACTGTGAATATCCACCTACACCCAACATGCTTCTTCTCTCTTGGTTGATCAACCAGTTCCCAAGTATCATTCTTTACAAGGGCATCCATCTCAACCTTCATTGCTCCCTTCCACTTAGGGACAACAAGGGCCTCTTGAATTGTTGTAGGAATGGAAATGACAACAATGGAAGCTAAAAATGACTTATATGATGATGAAATGCTACAACTAGATGTGGCATTTGTTGTGAACAAAGCGTGATAGTTTCTTCAAACTCCCACTGGTGATCATTGGACGGTTATGAAGTGTATTTTGTGTTATCTCAAAGGTACAATGGACTTTGGGCACTTATTTGTTGCTAGTTCTCCTGGATCATTAGTCGCATTTTTGGATGCTGATTTCAGGGCATTTTGGTTGCCCTGATGACCACCATTCTTCCAGCGGCTATGGTGTTTTTCTTGGTTCTCATTTGACTTCTTGGAGCGCTAAGAAACAGCCCACCATTGGAAATTCCATCACTGAAGCTGAGTTTCGTTCCTTATCTAATACCATAGCTGAAGTGTTATTGCTTCAATCTCTCCTACGAGATTTGGGTGTTCATCAGTCCTCTCCACCTGTTCTTTTTTGTGATAACATTGGTGCTACAAATCCGGTTGCGCAAATGGTTTCTCATGCACGTACGAAGCACAATGAAGTGGATTTTCATTTTCTGCACGATCATATTCTTCGCAAAAATATGGTGGTCCGATATATCCCTACTGATGATCAATTGGCTGATGTGTCTACCAAACCTCTTTCCCCAGTTCGATTTGACTTTCTACGTTCCAAGATTCATGTGCTTCCAGCCCAGTTTCGCTTGAGGGGGTGTATTAAAGAAAGCTATGGACTGGCTAATATAACAAATGAAAGTTCTAAAGATGGTAACTCTACAGTAATGCAAGTTTCCAATAGAAAGGAAAGAGATGTAGATGGTAATTATACAAAAGTTCAAGTTACCAATGGAGGTTCTCACCTAAGTTTAGAAATAGCTGAAATAGGAAGAAAATCATCTAAGAAACATTTTTCTTCCTTTCCCTTATTATGTGATTCTTTTGTGTATATATTGTACCCTAATCTCCTTAGTCGACATATACAAGAAATACAAGAAATACAAGTTCCTTGCATTGTTGAGAATTGTTCTTTGTTCTTTCTTTAACTTTATGAGATGGGTTTCGGTGGTTTGTTGGGTGTGTCGGGTGGTTTTGTGTTGGGTTGTTGTATTTATTAATGGATCTTTCTCTAGTGCTGGAGGACTCTTGAGAGATGCAGATGTCAAAGGAAAACATCAAGAACATCTTAAAAATGAATGTCAAATCCAATTTCAACATTCCTACAGGGAATCGATCGAACAGTGGTGCGGACTTTTTAGCTCCCACAGGGCCATAGTTGAACAAGATAGACTTAAAGAGTTTTATAATTCTGCATACGAACGAATTATGTCAATTATCATGGGATCGAGGATCAGTATGGTAGTTAGTAGTAGATATAGACAATCTAATCCTTTAATTAGTTTAATTGAATATACTATCTACGTACTTGGTTCAATTCAAAACAAAGAAACTTCATTGATTTATTATCAATCCCAATACATGCTGGATTTAATTTATTCAAAGGAAATTAAGACTACCCCACCATCCCACATATGGATAGGGAAGAGCCTACATATCTAACACACAACATTTTATTGGATATTCCAAATCATCTAAGGAAAAGCACACTAACAACATTTTTATTGGACAATTGACTGGTATTTTGATCCCAATCCCAGGTAAATCAACACTCGTATCTTTCACTCAGTGCAACATTTGTAGAGCAAGTACTTCTCCATGGAACGGTCGCATTCTGAACATTTTACCGTCTCTGGAATGTTATTAGCTGCGCCCATCGGAACAATCAGACGAATACAGTGTGCCCTGCAGGTATGGCTGCCTCGTACATATTCATTTAACGCAGTCAAGAAATCCTCATGCCCTCCGATGGCTCTGGATCCCCATTTTTCAAAGTCCTTAATTAATAGGGATAATTGTCTTCCACTGAATCTCACAGTTTTCAGATCCGAAGACCCTCCCAACATCAAAGCCCATCCATCCTCATTGTCATCATAACTTGATATGATCATCAATTCTTTCATGATTGCATCTTCAAGGTATGCGTTACAGTGTGCCATCTTGGAGTAGGAGATGTTTTCAATACGATGCCAAAATGAACCGATTGTCTTCTCATCCCAAACCCTTGATAGCTTTTCATTTCTAATGCAATTCAGTATCTTTTGCAATCGTTCTTTGCGCCGCTTTGTTCCAACGTAAATGGTTTCCATTTGAACTTTGGTCTCTTTGGTAATAAAACTCATACCTTCGGCAAATGGTCTTATCCAATCAAGATCATGACCTCCATAGAAACAGACAATCTTCTCGTCCTTAATCTGCGAAGCAATTAATAAATTGTAAGTGTAGACCAACTTTATTGAATGATTGCATTCAAAAACTTAAGAGGTAAAATTTATAAAGAACAGAAAAGAGGGAAAAATTAACAAAATTCAGTCCGTGTTAGAGAGTGCAGTTGTACCCATGTTTTTAGATCAGGTGCAAATCCCTTCACCAAGAATTCAACCCCCCCGCTCTCTCGCTTCCAAAGTTCTACTTCAGTCTTTTCGTAAAAGGGGTACGCTTGAGCACCCCAAATTTTCACCATTGGAAGTGCATTGGTGTGGCTAATCACACCTTGTTTGTTTAAGACTACCAGTATGGGCTTCCTATGGAAGTTCCATTTATACTTGATGTGCAATACGAAGCACTTATGAATGCATGAAGTGTTGAGAAGGCAAAACCATGGCATCTGAGCAGCTACTTGAACAAAACTTTGTTCTGGAGTTTTAATGGCCTGATCCACGATTGGTAGCCAAACTACTTCAAAGTTTTCTTTTCGTTTAATTATGTTATAAGCCTCGGCGAGAGCTGAAAATTCTTCAGCATTGACCATAAGATCTGAGATGAAGAAGGCAATGGACTTGCCCTTGAGTTTGTCCAAGCTGACCTGCACCACCAAAGTCATTGAGCGTGAGAACCATAATTTTGAAGATGAAAAAAAAAGCTAAAAGCCTAAAATTGAATTTGGAGGAAACAGTTCTGGTGAGTCGATCAAACCTTTTCCATGACAGAACGTTGATAAAGGATCAGCTCTTCTGTTGAGAAAAGCTTTTTAATTAGTTTTATATTGTCTTCATATTGGGTTTGAAATTTCAAGAGTTCTTCATACCCTGCGAAATCTGCAAAGCACTTTTTATGTTAAACTGCATTTCCAAGCATGATCTTTACATTTCTCCAAACTTAAAAACTTTTATTAGATTACATGTCATCAATGGATGGAGTTCCAGAGAGGGAGAGAGAGAGATCCTTGTTAGATTAGTGTCTAACCTTTCTCTGTAATGTATGATTCATATAGAAATTTATCAACAGGAGACGCCAATTTGTAGATTCTTGTGAGTTCATCATGGATATCACCAGTGGCTGACATTGTGTACCTAAAACATTGCAGGGAAGGAAGTTAAAAGAGAAAAAAACGTTTTCAAAACCATATTGTTCAAGTGAAATAAATTATGGCCGTATACTCATAGATCTTATATATCTTAAATTAACATATGTTAAGACTTTCAAAAATATAACATCTTATTGTATATCTTCTCTCAAAAAAGAAAAAAAAAACAAAAAGAAATTAAGGAAACAAAACATAAGTCAAGACTTACTCTGCACCCATTTTCACTAACACCATATTCGAAGATATGCAGGTATATAGGCTTCGGATGATGTAGTATACCGCTATTTGAAGGCTCAGTTTGACCGAACGATCTGTCTGAGTTTTGTAGAGTTTAAGCCCCATAAAGTTATTGGCCATAGCATGCACTCGACGGACCAGATTGGAGATAAGCTCGAAACGAGATTTTAGGGAACGAGAATTAGTTTGGAGCAAGGAAGGAAAATGCTTGAGCATTCTCACTGATGTGAACAAAGGGTTATCCGAAAGGGGTTGTGCAGTGAGCCAGAACTCACCATAGTTCATGGCAAATGCACTCATAACCAGTACAACTTTAGCTTCCCATGAGTACATCTTTAGAGTATCAAACAAGGCCAACGTAGCTTCATGGGGTTTCGTACCACACGCAGCTTTACACGTTATCTGTCCAATTGTGAAAGAATTCAGTTTATGGAATTAGAGCAGTGAAGAAAGGGTATATATATACATGGTAATGATTTCTAGAGTAAGTACTCGATAGGTGATACCTCCCAACTTAGCGAGTGAATGGTGCCACGAATACTGTCCTGCAATTCAAGTCTCTCAACTGAGGTAACGATGCTTTTGTCATTCGATCCTTGATGACCACTTTGCTCTAGTCCCTAAAATGACAAAATCACATTCTTACATTTTGTTATATACGTAATCACACTCTCTCTCTCTCTCACACACACACACGCACACAGAGACATACAGAGGGAGAGGAAACGCACCATTTCGGAACTGAAAGGGATTAGCTTGAAGATTTGGTTGATGACATCCATTAAAGGATTGAACTCGAAGTCTTGGTTCTTCGGTCCATGCTGGATTTGTTGAATGATGGCTTCCTCCTCAGAGGTAAGGGAGTAAAATGAACCAAACATGCTCATCTTAACCAAGCTAATATGCCTAAGACAACACACTCTGTTCACTTGCTAGATAATTAGACTCGACTGTGAAGTAGAAGCAGTGTTGGGTGTTTGATTTATAGGCAAAAAATCGAGGCCATTCTATCGAAGGTCAAGTGTTCAGACTTCCAAGTTGCTTATTGCTTTCACTGTTCTTTTTACCGCCGTTGTGGGTTCCAGAATCCAGACTGTTACATATTATTTCAATTTTTTATTTCAAATTAGGAGAACGCATATCTTAATTAAAATAATACAAAATACAAGATTTTACACTCTACATTATTGTATTTGTACTCCTTCCAAACTGAGCATTAGGTAAATTATAAGAAACTCACTTGTTTGGGTGTTGCTTTGCATTTTCAAGCCGAAAGCCCCAGACAAAAAATCCTAAGTCTGTGTTTGTAAGGTAAAAATGAATCAAAGTTTACACCCAAATCTTTGCATTCCAACCAAATACAACCTAAGAAAAAACATAGGGGTTGCCGCTAGGGGTGGCCACGAGCCGAGCTCTTCACGAATTATTCGAACTCAGCTTGTGAGGCTTGCGGGCTGGCTCGAATATATATATATATATATATATATATATATATATATATATATATATATATATATATAATTCTTATTTTTTTAAATATCAAATAAAAAATATTTTTTATATATAATTTTTAATTTTTATAAAATATTTTTTCTCAAATCGAGCTCGAGCTTACGAGGTTATGAATCGAGCCGAGCTCGAACTCAAGGTTTTAGCTCGACAGAGCTCGGGCCTTATACTTCCTAGGCGAGCCGAGCTCGAGCCTCATACTGTTCGGCTCGACTTGGCTCGAATCCACCCCTAATTGCCGCTAGTGGAGAAGCATTTGAAGATTGCCATCGGACATAGAAAAACCAGTGGATCCTCCCATTGTTAGAGAAGAGAGTAGTTTTCTTATATTCTTTGGAGAAGAAACTAAAATCATCACACGGAGTAGAAGAACATACAGCAGAGCCGTCGCTAGGTACTAAAATTCCCAAAGTAGTGGTACCCCTCATTGTAATGGGCATTTTCATCATTGAATTTGATTACTTTTCTTTAACTTTATGGTGATTAGTCCTTTTTATTCATTTCCAGTTCTCTTCATTTAAGATTGAATTAATTTAAAGTTTCCATAACTAGGTTTGATCAGGTGTACAACAATAATTCTTTGGGTCGTAAATTTGCAATCGTTTCTTTTGTTAGTTTTTTAGCGTTTTGATATTTTAGTATGATTTGAGCTCTAATTTTTTTGTGTTTGATCATTTAAACTATTGATTTTTAAATGATTCTTTATTTCCTTTTCTGAAACTTGTTTCCACTTTATTTCTTTTTTTTGGTACTTAAGTTTTTAAATGAATTTGTAGAATTTTCCTTGTAAAATATTTATTTTCTCCCTTTTTGTTTTAATTTTCTCAACCTTATCCCTTAAAATCGTGGATTTCAACCTTCTTATTCCAATCCGTGGCATAAAGGACATTTTCATCCTATACATTTTCTCCCTCACTCTGAACGGTTGAATGATCTGTAAGGTAAAATCAGGGGATATATTTTAGTTGTTTAGTTAAATCAGAATATTTTTTTTCAAGTTATTATCTCTTAGTAATTCTTTCACTTGTCTATTTTACATTATTAAAATAGCAGGGATTCATGTGATGCACATGATTTGTTAAACGAAAGTTAAACAATCGAAACACATAAGAGCATATAATTATTTTATACTTTTAAAATTTTAAATAATTAATAAATATTTATACTTTAGGTTATATTTGATATCTGAATAATTTTTGACCAATCAAGTAGTATCATAAACGTGGTAGCCAATCATATATTATTTATCAAAATTCATGAGTGGATTTTAATTGGTCATAAATATGGTTTTTTTTCTATTATTTCAATCTCACCCACAAATCATCCAATTCATCCACAATCAATTCACTTGCAAGTAATATGTACATCGTTTTCATACCAGTCACGGGTTCCTTTTAGTTCCTCCTGTAATTGAGTTCTTGATTCCATTGGACTCTGTGATTGAAAGCTGATCAGCATCTATTATCGCAAATGAAAGTTTGGCTCCATAAATCTCACTACCCAAAAGTAGAGGATAGTTCCATGTGCCTCATGTAGTTTGCCCTAATTAATTCAAGTGGCTCCAAACTGAAGTTTGGTAGAGAAACATATTAAATTAATAAAGAACGACTCCTACTTGGGACTGATTGGGAGGTTGACACAAGAACCATCTTCTTCAGACTAGATAGAAAGTTAAAACAAGGTAGCAACTCGAAGGAAATTCTTGAAAAGATTACTCCAATCTCATAAATTTCTGAAAATGGAAATCACCCCAGAGGTATCCAGGGGCGGATTTAGGATTTTATGTTAGGAGGTCAATTACTAACAAACATAAATTAGGGGGGGGGGTCAAAAGATTATAAGACAAGGGTGAATGATTAAAGTATAAATGAATCATCAATAGGGATTGTGAGGATTTTCAAAGCATAGGGGGGGCTATAGCTCCCCTCTTGTTACGGTCTGATACAAGCTTAGTTTTACCTACGCTTGGCAGGTTTACGTTAGGGACATCACCGTCATTTTTGCCTGTAAGATTTTTGGGAGAATTGATGTCATTTTCAGGCAGACCACCAAAAGCTTAACGTACTCTGAGGAGGGGTGGTCGACCTCCTTGGGTGCCTAACCTTGGCACTCCTAGACCTTCATCCCTTGCGGGGCGGCCCGGGTTAACGACCAGCATGGCTACCAGGGTTCCTCATGGGCGCACACATGCTCATGGGGACAGTGTTGGACCGGCACTGCGCTACTGACACTCAAGGGAGGCTTGGCATGCGGGCCTGGCTCAAGCATGACCCTTCACCTCGCCAGTCCCTTGCCCAAGTTGATTGAGCTATCCCGTTGCCCCTAACGCACGGGTGTGTTCCGGCCCAAGCGATTGCCTATTATCATGGCACACAGGTGCCTATCATCATGGCACACAGGTGCCTGTCATCATCGGCATACAGGAGACCCATCACATCGGTGCCCAGTCACCTCTCCGGCGCATAGTTGCCTTGCATTATGGTCGTCCCCCTTTAGCACGTAAGCGGCGCCTCCCATGGACCGGTTTGAGCCAGCAGAGTGCCCCGGCCATTGGACTTGAGGTCATGATCCAGTGCTACTGACTTTGGTGGACCCATCCCATCGGGCAATTCCTAGCCTTTAAGCACATAAAGGCTTGTCCTGGACGCCGCACGAGTTTGTTCCGCTGTAGAACTACCCCCGTGACACTCTACCACCCCCTTTCTCCGCCCCTCAAGTATCTATAAAAAGTAAAAACAGGTTTATTTGTTATTCCTTGAAAGGGCTTAAGTGGCTTTCGAGAACAAAAAAAAAACGGGTGGTTGAAAGGAGTTCACTTTGGCTGTTTTGGGAGCCTCTGCACATGTTACCTTAGTTTTTCTGCAGCAGTTTCGCCTGGCTTTGACATACATGATTTGTTTTCACATTATTAACAGCAAGGGTTGAAGAAGAGATATTTATCGCGCAAAATATCAGAAAAAAATGATAAAGTTTTTGCTACGTACTTTTAGGCTCAGTCTGAAAAGAGTATAAATACAAATATGTAGAATGCAAAACCTTGTATTTTGTATTATTTTTTTTATGTATTTACACTGTATATATTTGTATTTATACTGCTTCCAAACTGAGCCTTAAGATTAGGAAAAGTATAGTCAAGTCAATTAATGTATATGGTGCATCAACATAATGCTGATGGAGACTAATTCATGTAGTTCCAAACTAAATTTTGGTAGAAAGATAATATTAAATGAATTCAAGCTACTGAGGTCGACACAATTGAAGCTTCTTTTTTATTGAGATATCATGGAAATATTAAATAGAATTCTCTTCTCCCTTCTCTATTCTTCAACTACCCTTCATGTACATATTAGACAATTAATCCACATTGGTCTGGGTGGTTCTTGGCATCTGTCTAGACTTTATTCTAAAATGCAGTTGTCTACGTCAGATCCCTAATATTTCTTCTCAATACTGTTAGAATTTTGTGTATTTTTGTGAATTCTGATGAAAACCCAAATTGATTGCCACTTTTATGATGTCTGATTGGTTACAAGTTTTCTCGAGATCATTATGGTCGAACCCTATTTAAAAAACTGAATGTAATATAGACTTCTTTTTAACACCAGTTTGTGCATCACATGAGTCTCTTCTAATACTTCCAATATTGCTAGGTATGCCTTCGAGATACCTACTGAATGTAATTCCAGATCATGTTTTCTAATACTCTCCTGAATTTTTAACTATTATGCCTAAGGAGAATGCTATGAAGTCTAATATACCCTTAAAACATCTAATATAATAACTCAAGTCTCAACTTATAAACCTCAAATATCTCTTTAACCATTCTCAAAAAAAAGAAAAACAAACTATCTATTCATCTCTCACCTCTTGACTTCTAATAAATCTTCATGAAACCCAATGACTATCTAAGAGTCTCTGATCGCCGGACTATTGAAATTTCCATGGTTACAATACCAGCGGCACCTCCGGTCCTCCACTCTCTCTATATTCGGTGGCCGACACCTTCTCTCTGTACTCCGCCGTCGACATCCCCTCTCTATAGGACGTGTGAATGTCATTTTAATTAACTTTTTATTTTTTTACTTGAAATAAATTAGGATGCAGTATTAGCTGTGGGCCAGGGCAGGATAGGGGCGAGCAAAAAAACCAAAAAATCAAATCGACTGAACCCAAACTGAAAAATTGGTTAACCGATTTGGTCAGTTCAGTTTTGATTCGGTGTTTAAAAAAACTGAAGGTATCGATTTGGTTTCTGTTAATCAATATAGAAAACTGGTGGTTAACCGAATAACTAGTATACATATTTCTATATATTTTATATATATTTATGTATATTATATATATTATATATAATATTTTTTATATATTATAAATTAATAAATAAGCATTATATATATAATATATGATATATTATTTATTATTTAA